ACCAGTGCTGGGGGCAGGTAAGGGGGAGTGACTGTCCCCTGAGCAGGGAGAGCAATAGCAACAGGTCTGCTCCTATAGATAAAGCTCCCAGCCAGATAGCAATCAGCCGTGTGCTTGTAAGAGGTAACTTTAAGGCAGCACTATTATGGGAGGACATTGTGGGGATTCATCTTAATTATGAGAATGTGATTGGGATTCATCTCTAACTCACAAGTGTGAATCCCTCCCTCCACCCAGAACCCTGGCCTCCCACACTTCTTAAATATAAGAATAAAGAATCTGTCCACATACACTCTCTTCCCAGTCCTTAGTTGTTTCCCTAAGTTTCCTCTTCTACCAAGAAGAGGTCAGCTATCAATGCCTCCGCCCCTGACAAGGATTCAGCCTGGATCTCACAGGGGGAAGACACCTCCTCTTTACAGGATGGGTGCCTGCTCTCCAGAGCCAGTCAGAGTTCCTGTCTGGGAAGCGTGTCGTTTCGGTGAGAGCTGTCCATAAAAGCAGATCTCTTTTATGGCTCAGTAAACATTGATTGAACTAAAGTGAGCCCGATTCTTGGTGACAACGCGGGGCTGCTTCCTGACTCTGCTTCCTTCCTTTCTTTCTAGGGACTCAGGGCTCCAGGAGTCCCGGTGTTCACCGCTCCTCTCACCACAGCTGGTACTTTACTTCAGTCATAAAGTTCAGTAACCTCAGCTCAAGCCACATGGAGGAACACTTGGGGAAAATAATAGCACGTGAAGATGAGAATACAAGAAAAAGTATGTCTCTGTTGGATCACAAGGGAATTACTTTTATTTACACAGAGATGGGCAGGAGAAGTGCAAGACTGGTTTGCGTTTCCATCGTTCTGTGGAACCTGAAGAGTGAAAAGGGAGCTGCCGATACTTGAGAAAAAAAGAAATGACAAGAAAAGCTGTGCTTTGAGGTCACTTGTTTCCAAACCTAGCGTGAATCCAAGAGAGAGGCCAAGAGGCAGATTTTAATCTCGAGGTATTCTCCATCACTGTTACCCACCTCGAGGAGACTATAATCACCCTCTTTCGGTGTGGTAGAACACAGCCCACTGGCCTGTGTCTGCTGAGCTGGAAGACAAAAGGGGTGAGACAAAGGGGCAGACAAGAAGGCAGGAATCAAGGACACCATTATACCCAGGAACGGGCGAAAGAAAGAACGAGCGAGCGAGAACAGGAGGGAAGGCAGTCCCCCAGGCACCAAAGGCTTGTGTGAGTCAGAGCTGGCAGAGGCAGCCATGAGATCACAAAACAGCATGCTTGGGAGCCTGGAGATTGGTTTAAAACAGCACACAGAAGTCGAAGCTCTGAGGCGGTGAAGTGAATGCAGAACTCTACCACAGATCCAGACAGGATGAAGCCCTGCAGAAGCTGAATCTTGGGAGTGGGAACGAAGAAACCAAGAACTTTGCCTTTGCCAAAGACCTGCTGCCTCATGTAACAGGTAGAAAAATATTGAAGTAACTATACAGTCTTGCCCATGTAACGACAGGGAAGAAGGGTGCTGCTTTAATACATAGGAACTGGGAGATCAAAATGTCTGGGTTCAAATACTGACTCTGGCATTACACTGCTGCGTCTTCCCCACCTCCCAACTCCCTTCTTCCTTCTCCTCCCCTCTCCTAACTTCTGTGGGTTTGAAATTCTCCAGAAGTAGACTATGCCATCTGGACAGGGGTTTCAAGCCTGAATATCCTAAAATGAGGAGAGGAGAATATAGACCACTCAGTAGATAAAAAGATTTTGAAATGGAGGACAGCACTTTTTCTGTTCCAGAATCGCAGGGTCCAGCACTGCCATCGGCGCAGCCTCTGCCCAGTTGTCAGCAAGAAGCCAGAGCTGCACTGGCCTGTAAGGAGTGGACTTCATTCCGGACTAATGGCTTTTTCCAGCAGCCCCCACCTGCCCTGCCTAAACCCACAGCTCATAAGGGCTCGGCCTTCGTCTCAGGACATTCCATCCCTAGGATGATTTGATGACGTCTCTGTCTCCTAGCCTCCTACCAGGGTACAATTTTCTCAAGGCCGAGAAGTCCTTCCCAAGAAAATAAACACTCTCCAACAACCGTCTCGTTCTGTTACCTGCTTGGATTATATAATAACTGTGAGGCCCAGGCTCTCTTCCTGATCCACCAACAGAAACTCGCAGCCATCATACCGAACTTCCTTTTTTCCACTGTCCAAAGCCCTCGTGACTCCCAAGTCCCTAAAAGACAGCCGGCAGTGCCCACCATGACAGTTGAAATAAAAAGAAAAAAAATTTTTTTAACTTTGCTGCTTCATCTGTGCTCAGGACAGAAACTCAGCTCAAAATCTGTGAAGTTCTTAAGAATGTTCCTTTTCTGTAGACTGTATTCTTCAACAACAAGAAAATATCCTTCCTAATGCCCCAAACTGCTCTTAGAGGGAGAGAACATTTAGTAGATTTCCTGGCTTTGTTGAGGATAAACTAGGCTAGGGGTCCTCAAACTTTTTAAACAGGGGCCCAGTTCACTGTCCCTCAGACCCGTTGGAGGGCCAGCCTATAGTTTTTTTTAAAAAACTATGAACAAATTCCTACGCATACTGCACATACCTTATTTTGAAGTAAAAAACAAACGGGGCAAAAACACCCGGCGGGCCAGATAAATGTCCTTGGCGGGCCGCATGTGGCCCGTGGGCCGTAGTTTGAGGACGCCTGAACTAGACCCATGTACATCTTTTGAATAAAAGAGCCATCAATAAATGGGAACTAGCATCATTTAGCAGCTATCAAGTAGTTATCAAGTTAAACATTAACCTCCTCCACACACACACACACACACACACACACACACACACACACATTTCGGTGAGCTCCCCATTCTGGAGAATTCTGGAAAGAATCACTGGGCCAAACAGACAAATTCTGCAGAGCACAACACTAAGTAAGGTACCAGTTCGAAAAAACCAAACACACGGCTGCCTGCCCTGGTGTGTTTCTGAGGCTGAAATGCTTTACTGTAACTTTTTACAGGAATAAAAGGCCTCGTAATTCTCCTGAGGAGTGGCTAGCGGTTTCAAACTGCTGGCTTTGCAGTTAACAGTCCAACTCGTAGCCCACTACACTACCAGGGCTATGAAAGCAATAGCAGGTAAGAAAGGCTGGGGGGCTGCCATTATAGTTCCCTCGAAGCTTTCATCTGGATCAGTGTAGAAATGCCATCCACTCTGGAACTCCTCTTCAGGAATAAGAAGGGCGCGGATATTCCTGGAATGCCTCCCCACTTACAAATCAAAAGGCATTCCTCTTATCATCAGGACACTTTGTGCATTTGCTCGTTGGGAAGATTAAATGAGATAATGCATGTAAAGTGCTGAGCAAGACCCTGGCACACACAATAAATGTAATGAATAAATGATGGTAGCAATTGTACTTAAAAAAAAATTTTTTAAAGGACTGTCTCCCGTTGTTTATTGACTTCCTTGGCATCAGGAAGATTGAGCGGCAAGGCCATAAATAGCTGCGTGACACACTCCAGAGATGTCTGCTCTTCTCTGGCCATCTCATAATGAGCCATTTGTTAGCTCCAGCAGGGCAGAAAGACAGGCCTGGGGTCCGCCAGCCAGGGGAAGGGGAAAGCCCTGAAAGCCCTCAGGGCAGGTCTCCTCTGCATACGCAGGGCCACCATGAGTCAGACACCACAATGACAACAGAGCAGTAATGCAACACATTTCCTAATATCTGGGGATAACACCCCACCCGTCCCTCCCACTCTCAGTGACCCAGACATTGAAGTGCTTGGAACTACTAAGAGAAATTCGAAAGACCCGAAAGTAATCCCACAAAGACGCGTGGTAGGACTCTGGGGAAGCTTTGGCAGGAAAAGTGAAACCATCCCACACTGGACACACGTTGTCAGGGGAGAAATAGGGTAAACAAAGCACAGAATCCTAATGAAAAGCTATCATCTTAAAATAGAACCCCAAACCAAACAGATTCCGACACATCGTTACCCTGTGTAGAGTTTCTGAGACTGAAACTCTTTAGGGGAACACACAGCCTCATCCTTCTCCCAGGAAGTGGGTGTTGGGTTTGAACCACTAACCTTGCAGGTAGCAGTCCAATGCCTACTCCACCACCAAGGCAGACGACGGAGATCTCCACCTCTTCTTTCAATAGTACGTGACACCTCACAATCCTTTGTTTCCCTCTAGTGTAGACACACAGTTGTTTTCTTGCAGGCACAAAACCATTTTTCATAGGCATCAAAATGAGAAGGCTTTGCTGTAATTTATAAACTGCTCTACTTCTGTCAGGACACATAGAGGATGTATAACAAGTTCACCCTTGGCACATAACTATGCAGAAAATAAACGAAGGCAAAATGAATAATGTCTCAAATGCACTGCCCTAGTCGAATCTGACGCAGTCACCTGACAGGGCAGAAAGTAGAACTGCTGCTCAGGGTTTCTGAGACTGTAAATCTCTACGGGCAGAGTCAGCTTCTTCTTGCCCCTACAGAGCAGCTGGTGGGCTTGAACTCGCAACCTTTCAGTTAGCAGCCCAAATCCTAACACCTGGAGACAGCAGGGATCCTTGAATAATACCTGGGCTCCAGAAAAGATGGTACATATGCAACAGTTATGAAATAGTATAAAGGGGGAAAATGGCCATAAAACTTTTCATTTTTATCTTGTGGGTAGGGCTGTCATGTCATGTCATCATTTTTGTAGTTTCTAAATCATGTTTTTGGAAACACAAAGGGCATTAGTGTTCTGCCTCCTCAGCTTTATAAAAGGTCAGGCCTCCCGACAATTCCTGGTGCTTCTAAACTCTGCTTTCAGAAATACAAAGTACAGGTATAACCCATAACTTTCCACCCAGGCAAATCATGTTCCACCCCTTGCTGAATGGCTGACTCATCTCACGTGGCCTGAGTCTTCATGGCTATTTTCTCTTGCTACGACAGTGCATATGCTCTACAACTCAAAGTAAGAAGGGCAACTTGGAAAAGACAGGCTTGCTTTTTTTTTTTTCCAATTTATTTAATACATTCTAATCAAATAGTAACAGCAGTAAATAAAACACTTGGAAAAATAGGCAGGTATCCCCCTGTATCTGGAAGAAAATTATGTCAAAGTATTCTACATGGTAGAAGGGAGATAACTGTTGATGTCCATGGCTAGACAATTTGCGGACAAGTTGGAAAGTTCTAAAGCCATTTCCAAAAAAATCAATGGCAACAAGTTGGAACACAGCTACATCAGGGGTAAAATGTCTATTCTACATTGGTGTTATTAAGAGGGTGGGGTTGCACCTGTATAGCGACATTCTTGTCTTTAGCCTTAAAGGAAAAGAGGAAGTCTTTTCCGTTTGCACCAGTTTGAAATAGTTCTGAAATAAGGCTACCTTTAAATGGATTACTACAGTACTCATTCACATAAGAGAGTTCATACATGTAGTAAAAAAGACAAATACAGGATTTCGTGGTCAACTTTTTTTTTGGTTGATTTGGTTAATTGCATAAATAATGGATAAATACTCACAAGCACAATCTGTTTCCTAAAACTCTTGGGTGCATCAGAATGCATGAACTATGAAATGACTGATCACCAGGCAGATGAGATTAAAGTTCACCTGGGTCTGCCAGGTTCCTCCCACTTCCACAGCCTCCTATGAAGAGCTATTCATCTACAGCCACTGGCACGAGGCCCTAACACCTAGTGGAAAGGAACCACAGAGAGGCAAGGTATTCTTATAAAGTGTTCAGGTGGGCCATTTTACCATTAATTGGAAAGGATCAACTGCTCTTGCTCAGCCTTAGGGAGGGAAGCATCACTCAGGTAGAGGGAGAGGGGAGAGCTCTTTAAATACCTAGCTACCTCTTCACACACTTAAATTAGATCGACTCCAGGTGTTCTTAGAAAGCATTCCATGTAGTTATCCAGAACAGTTGCTCAAGTTTTGGTTCTCTTTCACATAGCTGCATTCGGAGATACTCTAGATGAGGCATGTTTAGAACAAGAGAAACATTTATACCTGGAATTTATACTCTTCCAAGTACTCTTTTAGTCTTGTTGGTAAAGGCAGTCCCCAGATGGCACCGGTACATTTGTTAATGGTGAGTCTACAGAGATGCTGCAGAGATGGTGCTGACGTGTAGAGTGGTTTGGTCAGATAGAGGTGAACAGTGCCGTTCCGGGGAGCTTCTGGGCCAGTTCCCTTATCCTTGCACATCTGAACATAGTAGTCGATCAGATGAACCACACTCTCAAACTGTTTCAGCTTGGACTTGACACATATGATTGAGTCCAATCTGAATTTCCCATCTTGGTATTCGATTCGCAGATTAGTTGGCCCAGCTGATGTTTTAACAGATATTGTCAGTAGGTAGTCTGAATGCGAACTATCTCTAATCAAGAAAGTTCCTTCTGGCGCCTCTTTTAATTTCTCTTTGGCTTCATTAACAGTCATACCTCCCCAGTACCATCCTGGGGTTTTGTTCAAAAAGAAAGGGGGGGAAAAAGTGGAAAATAATTATTATCAGAATAGGGAAAGTACCTGGCAATCATTATTCTAATTCCTAAAATAAAAACACGAAAAAGATTATGAGTGAAAGTTTACCAGCGGCTGCCCATAAGTATGAAGGGACTTAAAAAAAAAAGTTCTAGGGAAAATTCCATTATCTTTCCATTCCATTTTCCCACCCACTGATTGACGTAGCCAGACTTGGGGTAGAAATGTAATGTCATTTTGAATCCATTTTACTTTGTGGACACAAATGAGTCTGTTTTCTTTTCCAAGAAACGCTTTAAGCTCACTTGTTTCTCCTACCAAAACACAAGCATATTTGCAATAGGACACACTGGCGAGCAAACGTGATGTTATTCAGTGAAATCAAAGATTTAAAGTAGAGTTGAAATAAAGCAGCAGTTAGAAATAAAAGCCAGGTCCTTAGGCAGGGGGGAAAATAGTGGAAACCTTAGCTCCAATAGTTCCAGTAAATAAAATCAGAAGCAACTTTTAGGGTGGTTTGTGTTCCCTGCCCCACCCCACCCCAGAGAACCTGCCCTGGCAGCTTTCCTTTGTTCAGAGCCCTGGGAACCCTGCTATCTACCAGTTTAAAAAGTAAGCCCTTGTATGATCACTTCCGTCTGCTGCTTTTGATTACAACTGCCTTTCAATCAGAGAGAAATAAGAGAAGCCCAATTGGTGATTAGTACTTCAAGTTTACAATCTGAACTAAACTCTTTTGGACTTTGCCTTAATTCAAATCCAATCACAACCATGGGTTGCCCCAGCATTCTCTATCTGATCTGCCACCAACAATTCCCCAGGTCTATTCTGTTTTCATAAATGACTTAGTCGGTCTGTATCTAAGAAGCGTAAACAATGTGTCCTACATAGCGCCCCACCCCACCCCCCCAAAAAAAAAGAGAAAATCTGCTGAGGGAAAAATTAAAAAAAAAAAACCAGGAACCTCAAACAAGGAGGGAGGGGCAGGGGAGTTAGTTTCTTTCTCCGTAGTGCTATTTAAACTTCAACTTTGCGTCGAACATAAGCTTTTAGGACCCAGATTTTGAAAGCCTATGTAATTTGCCAGAATTTTTTAAAAGAGTATGAAAAAAGTGTTTCCCTCATTTAGATGTTAAAAGCAGCCACAGTGAGCGCGCTGCACTTGAAACAGTCAATACGCTGGACCGGCCTGTCCCTGGAGGCTGCGGATGGGCTCCCCTGCGCTGGCTCCTCCGAACCGCCGCAGCTACCGCCAGGCAGTCGGTCTGGCCTCGGCCGCGGAGATCCCGGACACGGCGGCGGCTCCGCCACCCAGCCCCATGCGGCTGCAAGTGCCGGGTGTGCGGCGGGCACTGTCTGCCCCTGCAGCCCCGGGGAAAGAGAGGGGCTGGGCGCTTTCCCGCCAGTGTTCAAACCCCGAAGCAGCCACGGACAAACAGCCCAGGTCCAGCGTCCTCGCAGGCTATGTCCAAGGGGCCCTTCTCGGGCTCTGCCCTTCCCTACGCTACCGAGTCCCTAGAGAATCACTTTCCTTTCGCGCTCCCCAGGTCCCCTGCGCTGGAGAGGGGACGGGAAGCGAGGGAACGATGTCAGCCCACTTAGCTCCCACCTCAACCCCGCATGCCAGCTGAGTTCCCCGCCAGGGCAGCAGCCAGCCCCGTCTTTGGGGAGGTGGCCCCTCCAGCCCCATCCACGTGCGAGGCGTCGCGGCCAGTCCCTTCCCTACCTGTTTGACTGAGCTCCCGCAGGGCCTTCGTCAGACGCTCCGCCTCCGGAGCCGGCTCCTCGCCCGACCCCACGGTACCCCACTGGCTCCGCGTCCCCTCGGCACCATTCCCGGAGGGTTCGAGGCACCGCAGGGTCATGAGGTCACCGGAACAAAGACAGGTGTCGGCCTGAGCTGGAGTCAGAGAGGGGCGCGAGTCCTTCCTTGAAGCCAGCGGGAACCCCAAAAAGAGTCCCTGCGGGATGTCCGAAATGGAAGCAGAGGGGGAGGGGACACAAAGCTTCCTGATCTTCCTCCCCAGGGCTGAGCGGGCAGATAGGAAAGTCGCCCGCAGGCACGGTCACCCACAGTTCACCTGTAAAGAGAAAGTGGAAGGTTGGGGTCAGTCCAAACGAGACCCCTGAGGCTGGGTGCTGGTGGAGGGAGTGATGGTGATGGTGATGATGGACGATCCCACAGATTCTTGTACCTCTCTCTCTGTTCCTGCACCATCTCACCCCCAAAATCATCCAGTTGCCGCGAGGGCCCAGCCCTGGAGGAAGGGTGCGGAGGGACCTTGGGTACAAGGTTTGGGGCGCCGAGGGAAGGGAGAGAACGAATGAGGGTGGAGAATGGGGTGTCTTCCTCTCGGCGGCTGCAAAAGAGTCACCTGCAGGTCTGATGGGAACAGACTCCTGTCAAGGACTCGGAGGAAGGAAAAGAATTCAAAGGACAGTCGAGGTCCCCAAATTGGCACCTTCACCCCACGTCCTGCGCGTAGTACCCGGCAGCCAAGTCGGCACAAGCTTTGCTTCCCCCCTCCCCGCCCCCGCCCCCGCGCCCCTTCCCACTAAAGTGCCGCGGGCTCCCCGGGGCCCGAATCCCGGCCGCAGCACGGCGATC